GTTCTTTTCTGGTTGGGCTCCAATTTGTTTAAGTTATCTCTTAAGTTTGGCAGCCAGAACTAAAAAGACTACTAAACTAATTACATTAACTAAAAAGATTTAATGGTTAAAACCAAAATATATTGGAACTACTACCTCTGGCTTGAAACAGCATTTCTACCAACAAAACATAAGACTGAATCACACTGCTGACCCAAGCTGTACTTTGGTAAATCAAAATAACCAAACATTTCTCATATATTCTACTGCTAGCATATTTCTCACATCTTTTATTTTTACAGGTGGCTTTACTTTTTTATTTTTATTAGTTTCAGGTGTACAAAACAGCATAGTGATTAGACATTTATATACTATGGTTGGCTTTATTCAAATAAAAAATCATCTACTTAGGTTATCTCGACGTGTTTGGCTTTATTTGGTCCACCACTGTAATCTGCTTTAAAGTAATCTTAAACTTTAACTGTATTATATTACATATTAAATATATCCCTAGTTTTGTGTCACCCTCAGATGTGATAAGTATAATATTCATAAAATGTTGAGGAAATTGGGCAAAGAGGAGAATCACAGACGTCCTTCCTGGCTAACAAAAATTCACCTGAGCTTGGTTACTTATCCAGGTATGAAACCATCTAACTGTATTATTTTTCCACATTTTTCTCTCCTTCATCCACAAAGACAACATGAGGTACCTTACTTGGGGCCATGCTGAAATCAAGAAGCACATGTATTTGTTTTCTCACCTACCTGCAGGTGCCCCATAAGGGATAGGAAGCTGCTCTGAAATTGTTCTTTATGAACCCTATTGATAACGACTCTTTCAAAATGTCTTTAAATGCTGTTTTAATAACACATTATAGGTTTTCCCCTGGAGGCAGAATCACATTTACCAATCTTGGGAAAACAATAAGGTCTAGAAAATCCTAGTCGAAACTATATGTTAAATATGTACATATTGGTCCACTATTTATGACAGGTAATGATTTCCAGCTCTAGTTAATTAAATTTATTATCATTGTAAAGTTATGATACATGGTCTGGATATTTGTAGTGTGCTGATGCCCAGTTAATGCAAAAGATGTAATTTTAATTATCTTTGATACTATTTTTTAAACACTGTATTCTCAAAATTACAAAATTTTAGATGTATATTATAAAAAATAAATAGTTCTTTCTATTCAAAAACTGAAATAAAAACATACATAATCATAAATAAGTAGATTCTCACCTTTAATTGCCAATCAAAATCCTGTAGCTGTGCAGAGGAAATATCAACTATTTCTTCTAACAGAACCTTCTTGATTTCATCTTTCCTACTTTTCAAGCATTTCATGATAGCTTCTTGATGAAATGAATTCAACCGATTCAATTGCTGAGATATCTGTGAAAACAGAAATAAATGGTTATACAGTAGGTAAAAGGGCCTTTCTGTTTAAAATGTAAACATAGTTCCATCTCTTTTCACATACCTTTTAAAATGGTAATAAATGAACAAAAACAAAACAAGAAATACTTCTGTAACTATGAAAAGAACAAGATGAGACTGCATCCAGCAAACAAGAGATTTTAACAAATTTTTGCAAAATAAAAAGTAAAGGAAAAGGGCTGACTGATGAAGATCATGAAACTGAATACATCTGGAGATCACTAAACAAAAACAAAAAAGCTGGTGTGACTCTATTAATATGTAAGACAATATATATAGCCTTTAAGGCAAGAAGTATTACCAGAAACAGCGAAGAATGGCAAAAGGGTCACTCAAGAGAAATATATAACAATCACAAATTTGTATGTAACTAATAACATAACATATAAAGCAGCAAAACTTGGTAGAACTAAAGAGAAAGAGTAATTCTACTTCATAATTAAATCATGAAATTAATCTAATATACTTCTCAGTAACTGACAGCAACAAAAAAGTAAAGATATAGAGTCTAAAACACACAAAACTGAGATACTTAAAGTAAAATGTTAACAATGTTTAATTGTGTTATTGGGAATGTAGGTGGTCAGCTATTTAACTTTCAGTTTTCGTCTATATGACTTAAATGTTTCAAAATTTAAAAAAATACAAACAACCCAAAACAAAACTACAAAAACCTAGAACTTCCACAGATTTTCTATTTACAGTGAAGTTTTTCTTGTTATATATGTAATGTATACTTACTAATGATGGCCCTTGTATTATATAGTGCCCTAAAGACCAGCTTAATAAAAAACCTGAACACTAATTATTTATTTATTATTTATATAAGGTATAGAAAATTAGAGTAAAGTTACCTCTTCATCAGATAAATTTTTACCAACTACGGCTTTGAAAAACCTTGTAATATCTTCTAGAACATGTGTCCATTCCGTTGAATCCCAAACACTCTGATAATCTTGGTAGAGAGGATAAGTTCGGCCACAAATGCCATCGATCGTTTTGTGAAGAAGCTAGAGAGAAAAAAA